GAACAAAAGGGAAGCGCAAGACGGGGGGAGACCCGGGGGGGGCAAGGACAGAGGGCAAACGGGGGCGGGAAGGCGGCACAAGGGGGGCACACACGGGGGCGGGGAGGGGGGCCCAGGCCGCCAGGCAGAGCGCCGCGAGAGCAGGGAGGGGGGGGGGCGGGCGCGGGGCAACACGGACGGGCAACGCCCGCCAAAGAGGGGCGAGGGGGGGGAGAGCGGGAGACGGGCGAGGCCACGCCAGGACCGGGAAAGGCGGCGGACGAAGCCACGCCGGCGGGGCCCGGGCGGGGGGGGGGGGAGCAGGGGCAGGCGGAAAGACCCAGCCACGGGGCAGCGGCAAGGCCCGGGCGGAGGGAAGGAGGGGGGCACGCAAAAGCGCACGAGACAGGGCCCCAGGCAGGCGGGCCGGGACACGGAGCAGGCGGCCGGGGCCCGGGGCAGAAAAACAGCCCCAAAGCAGGAGGGGGCCACCCCCAGGGGGCACAGGAGGGAGGGGGGGCGGGGGAGGCAACGCAGCAGGCGGGCGCCGCCAAACACGGCGAGGGGAGGGGGGACCAAAAAGGGCGAGGGGGGGGGCAGCGGACCAGAGGACAGGCGCCCAAGCCGCGGCGGGAGCAGCGAAAGGCGCGCGAGCAAACGGCAGACGGGCCGGGACAGGGACGGGCGGAAGCAGGGGGACACGGCGGGCACGGCAGGAGGGGAGGCCCGGGCGGCGGAGGGGGGGACGGAGGGGAGCCGGGGGGACGGGGGGCCCAGCGCGCGGCAGGGCAGGGACGAGGGCCCCCCGGGGGGGGCGGGGAGGGGGGCGCACCGGGCGGGGGAGCAGGGGGACCCCACGGGGGGAGAGCGGGCGGGGAGCCCCAGAGCGAGGGAGAGGAGCAGGGGGCGGGGAGGGCGGCCAGGGGCGAAGAAGGGCGCCCACAGGGGAGGGCGGCACACCAAGCGGCGGACCGAGGGCAGAGGCAGGCGGCCCAGCCGGGGGCAGGGCGACAAGGGGGGGGCGGGGGGCCGGGGACAGCGCGGGGGGCGGGGCCAGAGGGGAGGGGGGAGGGGGACGGGGGGAGGGGGGGGACAGGGGGCGGGGAGACGGAGAACGAGGGCAAACAGGGGCCAGGAAGACAGGGAACAAGGGGAGGACAGAGGAGGCGCGGAAAGAAGAAGGGACAGGGCGGGGAGAGCCAGAAAGCGGGGGGGGGGGGAGGGGACCAAAGAGGCC